CACTCAGCACCACCTTGTTACCCGGCCCCACTGCCGGGCTGGTAGTGGGGCAGGTTATAAGCTGGTGCTGAGCATGGGGAGAAGCGGTCCCTTGCCCACCTCATGGCCAGCACCCCGCACTGCAGCCGCTTGCAGCCTCTGCCTGGAGCTGCCTGTGCTTGCTCCAGACAGCCCTGCACGGGCTGCGAAGACCTGCAGTGCGGGGTGCTGGCCATGGGGCAGGTGAGGGACCACTTTTCCCCCACGCTCAGCATCAGCTTCTTTCCTGCTGGTGAGCAGGGGGTCAGGGCTGTGTGCTGCCCCCCGCCTGTACCATGGGACTGGGGGGCACTGGGTGTGAGCGGGCGGGGCATCAGTGGGAGCACGGGGCCTGCACCAGTGCCCCGGGGCCAGTGCCGGTGGGGCCCAGAACGGTGGCAGGAGCGTGGGGTCCCAGCAGGCAGGGGCTCTATGGAGCTGGGCCAGCTCCCCCCTCCCTGCTGGTGCAGCCCAGCCCGGCTCCACGGACCCCTGCCAGCCTGTGCCCCGCTTTGGGCCCCACCAGTGCTGACCCTAGAACATTGGTCCCAAGACATTGGGATGTTGGTCCCAAGATGGTGACCTGGGGGGGGGACACCTGTCAAGGGGCAGGGCTACCCATGTGACCCTCAGCAGCCTTCCAAAACTGGGTAAGCGGCCCTCCGCTCAAAATAATTGCCTTCCCCTGTGCTAAGTGGTTACAGGTGTGAAGGACACAATGCCTGTTTCACAGTGCCTGTGAAAAAGAGGAGGATTATATACTTGCATGAGAATGAAATAATATTTCTGCAGTCCATTGACTTCCTCAGTTATTAAAACCCATCACCTTGGGATAAATATTTGTAACACTTAAATCAACAGGCCCAGATATCTTGTGCCTTCAAGTTGACAGCGCTCTGTTTAATTTCTTTGAAATGTTGGAATACTGAGGTGCTTCTAAATGACTGGAAGAGTGCTAATTTTCATGAAGATTAGAAGTATGAACAAGCTTTGTTCTAAGCCAGTGGTTTTTCAACCTATGCTCCATGGTCTCCTAGGGGTCTGAGGACTGTCTAAGGAGTCCCAAAAAATGACTATGTTCAATTAAAAGTATGTGGATACTCTTAAAGTTCAAAGGGGCCTACACCTCCATTTGTCATTTCCAAAGGGGTCTGCACCTCCATTCGATATTTTTTAAGGGTCTGCAAATGAAAAAAGGTTAAAAACCACTGCTCTAGGCTACTTAGTCCGGTATTTCCACTGTTTTGTCTGGGACTAAAGCTGATCTGTGTTTCATTACATAAACGATAGAAATAAACAGTATTTACTAGGGGTGCACCGATAGAGACTTTTGAGGCTGACACTGAGGCATATTGGCCAATACCCATCCGATTTCCGATATGCAGCCCAGCAGCTTGAAGAGCAGTGTCCAGCTGGTAAGTCTGTTCTGGGGGAATGGAAGGGGTGTGGGGGGGTGGCGCAGATCAAGGCCCCTGTGGTGAGGGAGGGAGTGGAGCTGGGGCAGGTGCTGCACAGCCGGGGCAGGGTGCAGGACAGAGCTGCAACCCATTTGGGGGGTGTGGGGATGCAGGGGGAGGGGAGGGCAGCTGTGTGCACCCCAGGATGGCTGGGGGGGGGAGGGGTGTGGCGGATGCCCCCGGATCTGCGCTTGGAGTGGGCGGCAGTTCTGGGAGGGGGCTGTGGGGGGGCTACAGCTCTCCCACAGTGCACACAGTAGCAGGAGCTGCCCCGCCCCTGGACAAGCCACACCTGTCCCATGCCCCGCCTCTCCCCAGCTGGGCAGCACCTACCCCAGCCCCACTCCCTTCCTCACCATGGGGACCTTGATCTGCCCCTCCCCCCACCCCTTCCACCACAACACACTTACTAGCTGGACGCAGCTCTCCAAGCTGTCAGGTTGTGCTCCTTGCTTCCTACGTGCTGCGCTGCAGCTGTGTGCATGCATGGAGCATTTATGCAGCCAATTATTTGGCCAATCAGTCAAAAAAAAAAAAAGACGATTTCCAATGCAGTCAATTTTCTTTATATTGGTACCGATCTGATATTGGACCGATGTATCAGTGCACCTCTAGCATTTATCCAAATCCAAGACTGTCCAATTGACCAAGACTACCACTCTCCAAAAATTAAAATCCACACATTGAAACTTTTTGTTATTTATATAAACAGACCTACTAACAAACTAGTAAGTCGTATATTCAACAAACATTATCTCAATCTGTGTTAGGTTTTGCCCAGAAAATCCTAGTGAGTCCTGCTTCTTTTTTAGTTCCTACATCCTTATTCTCACTGTCTTCACTGCTCTTATCTTCTCCCTCATCTTCCTACAAACCTTTGCCTTCAGTTCCATCCATGGCATTGGAGCCTTCTTGAAGCCTTTAATAAAGGACTCTGAAAATACCCTTTTCCAGTAATTCAGAATCCATTGGCAAATCAGTACTATGGTTGGCTTAATTTTCCCACCAAGTGTAAGTGCATGGTTTCCTGCCAAGAGCCAATCTGAGTGCTGTTTAAATTGTCCTTAAAGGGTTTATTTACTATAACATCCAGTACTTGGAGTTGAGATGTCATACCAATAGGTATGACTACAGGATCACAATTCATTGACCAAACTTTTGCTTTCACATCTGGTGTTAAATGCCCTCTGAATGATTCTAATGCTAACATTCCTCTTTTTTTTTTTTTTTAGCAGTGCCCCAGGTTTCCTGTTCTACGTAACAAATATCTAACTGGTCGTTCATCAGTTCACTTGAAAACCACCCTTGTCCCTGACACCAAACAACTAAATCCTGGTGGCAACTTTTTTTTTTTTTTGGCACAATCTTTTTTTGTTTCAAAATTATTTAAGGTGGTAATTTGCTACGTCCTCCAATACTTTTAACATCACTGTATTTCACAACTTTTCATTTTCTGTATTTCTCAGAATTATGAATTTTGACCTTTGTCAAAACTTATGTTGCTTGGCATGTCAGATAATGCTGATAAGACTCCAGTCTATTCTGTCTGGCCAAGTAGTTAATCATGAGTGTTGCAAAGCTCAGTAATGTATCACTGGAATTCTAAAGATTTTTTGCTGAAGTTCAGTGGTAACATTTGTGCAAGTGGCCTTCATTACAGGGCTAAGATACTACATTGCATCATTTGCATATGCGACCACTACTTGCCTTGAATTTTTGCTATTTCTTCACCGTTTGTGATCCCTTTAGTTGAAGCATTTTGTGGGTCACTGGCATTCCTTCAATCCCTTCTTTAATGTACGTGAGAACTGGCTTATCAATTTCAAGAAAGTGAATGACTTTCATATGGACTTAGCATCCTTGGTTTTCCTTTTAACTGTCTCCATCAATGCACATTAGCTTCAGTAACACTATACTTTCTTCCTGCTTCTGTTATTTGTTTTGTTTTGTTTTTTTCAGCATAGTACAACTTTCATTTTAAAATTCATGTTGTAGCTGCCCCTCATTTCTGTCAGTATTTTCACATATGTACTGCTACTTTCTCCCTTTTTCTTGTGACATGATCTATCATGGTGTTTGTTCTGTCCCCCATGCTTGTCCTGCCAAATTTACCATAAGTGCCTGTTTTTTAAGTTTTGGCCAGTCATTAATGATTGGGTCCTGTAATTCACTGCATTCCCTCCCACTGCCTCCCTACCCCTCTACCTGGTGCCTCATTGCTCAGCTCCCTGCTGCCACCTACCTCTGCATTCCCTGTGTGCTAAATCCATGATGGCTTGTCTGTTTGCATGTCAGTCATTTTCACCTCATCTGCGATTCCAAGACAAGGCTTTGTTTTTCACCATGTTGTGTGTGTGCGTGCGCGTGTGTGTGTGGCAGGGTGTGGCGGCAGAGGCTTGTCTTGGAATGGAGTAAATACAGTAATGTCAGTCAACATTTTATGGAAAGTGTCTTGTCAAACCAACCTTATTTAACTGCGCAGCTGTAATGTGATGAAGGCTTTTGTAAGGTGGTTGTAGTAGTGCAGGAGCAAATCATTAGCTTGCCAGCTATATAACCTGATGTCAAATTATATACTTTTTATATTATTAGCTGTAAATATTTGTTTTAGTAATGAGTGCTTGGAGGATAATTTGGTTAAGTGAATGATGGAAGACTGGCCTCCCTAAGAGGAAAGATTTAAGGTGACATTACTGTGCAATGTGGTAGTTGTAGGTGTCTGTGGAAAGAGCAGACATACTTTTTAAATAGCATTACTTTTTCATTTAGTTGCATTTGAGGGTTTGTCAAGTAATGCTGACTGCTTCACAACAGCTTTTATTATCTAAATGCTTAAAAAGGAGGTGGAGGATTGAGCAAGAGAGGGGGTAGGTCTTCAGAAAGTCAGAAATGCAGGCGCTGATGACATTCCTTCGATGGCCTGCAAATTATAGTATGACAGGAGCTTCCTTTAAATGGAACGAACTTCACACTTACTTCTCTGTCTGTAACTGCTGACATGTTAAACTTTTAGCTATGGCTATGGCTAAAGGAACCACGAGAACAAAATTCTATTGGACCCCGTTAAACTTTTACAAATGTAACTAAGCAAAAGCTATATAGAAAATTGAAAGGCGCGATGGAATTTGTCCAGTTTATAACCCACGTCAGAGTTGCTCATAACTATGGAGTTGCTTTCTGCTGGTTTTTAAACTGTAATCTCAGTCAGTTTATTAATACAAATGTAATATTTAATTTTCTGCCCCCCCAGAAGAAGGGAAAGCACTTTTCAGGGAACGGCCGATTAACCACTTTAGTGACTAATTTAACTTATGTGCAAAGTTTGATCAGAACAAAGTAGAATAAAGGAGTAAAAGATTTATACATAATTTAGCAAATTCAGCTTTTTCCTTTGACCTCTGCTCTCTCTGCTGTGTTTTATTCTAAATCTATTTGGAAATCGATATGTTGCATACATTTATCTGTTCAATACCTCCGTGGTCTGAAATGAAGACAATTTTTCTTCCTATCCTAAATTCTTCTGTGACTATTGACTCAGTAATTGCTGAGCTCCACCTTTTGAGATTCCTAAAGTTAGCTGAAGTGGTTTCTGTGTAAACAGGGTATAAGAGCATTTAGTATGAAAGAATTTTAGTGAATGTAGGATATTTCTCCAAGATTGAAGTAAAAAAAGTTCTGGCTGAAAGGGAATTCCTTTCAGCAAGGGCTGGTGTAGCAGCAGGGTAACAATTGCTATTTTTACTTCAGCCTGTAGTCAAAGTCCTTTGTATTTCTCAGTCCATTGGAAATGGTTCTCAAGTTGATTATCTTCCACTTAAAATTGCCAGAGTACAGCAGTACTGTCATACCCTAGCATGCATTTTGTATTCAGGGGAAACCTATCTCTTTTGTGGGATAACTATACTGACTTCATGAAGCGGAGTGCTCTCTACTTTGAGAGATTTGTAGCTACCAAGATATGCTGCCACAGTGCTGCATGAGAGAGAATCTGGGTTGGAATCTCCAGTTTACTGAATTTAAGCCCTGCAAAATTCAGTTTTCCTGCTCCAGAATTTAAATCAAGCTTGCTGTGGAGTACCTGGGGCCATACATATAGTGTTTGAGTAGTAGGAGGGACATTAGTGAGACTCCTGTGTGGTGGTGGTGGTGGTTGTTGTATTGTTTTTTGGCTCGAATGACACAAGTACGGATTTAGTCATCTACTTGGTAAGAGGTGGTGGAGAGGTAGGGAGAGTAAGATGTATGCTTCTATTCACTGGTAGTTCCTTTATAATGGGGGCCATCCAAAGAGCTCTTTCACCTTCATTTGCTATTTTTAACTAAATACTTGAGTTTTATGTTTTAAACACGTGGGTATTCTGGTCACTGATATTTGAATTCTGCATAAAATTGTTCATAGCCAAGCTGCAAATGGCATGGTTTGTGATAATTAACCATTTTTTTTTTCAGATTCCTCCTAATAAAATAGATTATGAATATAGTGAACTTATTTTATACCAGAATCAAGTGATGAGAGAGGCAGATCTGTTTCAAGAGTCTTTAGAACATATAGAAACATATGAGAAGCAAATATGTGATAAGCTCATAGTAGAAGAAATCAGAGGTAAGTTGCTTTTTTCCCCATTTTTTGCATCAAAATTTAAGTGTAATAGTATTAGTTTTGCTAAAACAATTCAGTAAATTTGACAGTAAAAGTTCAGGAAAAAGAGCCCAAACTGTCTCCTGGGTTTTGAATATGTGGTGTACCATGAGGTGTATATTGAAACTTTAAAAGATCCATAAAGAGATTATTTCAAATGTATCAATACTAGATTTGTAATTTGGCACTTTATTCGCAATAAACCTCAGCAAGCTAGAGTGGTATAATCTGATACATGATGACAATATATTTGGATGTGAAATGGCACTCCTTACCACTAAGGACAATTCATGGGTGTTGCATATACATTAAAGATACCATTCACTAATGTATGTATGTTTAGTAAATTTTCATAAGTTAGAACTAGAATAATCAATTTCTACTTGCCTGTATCTGCAAGTAAGTATCTGAATGCACTGTTTGTACTGAAAGTGGTGGTTTCATGCTTGAAATAGCAGGTTCTGTCATCCTTTTAACTACATCCAAAAGAAAAAAGTCAGTGTTCTGTTTTCAGTTACAAGTCATGCACTGCTTTCATCAAGTGGAGTCTTTAATATATACAATTTTGACATAGTCAGCATGTTTAGATATTCCTTGTCCATTATGTTGTTATAACCCTTTTGTCAGTGTACCTATAAAAGCTGACATTGCAATTTAATGTAAAATATGGGTATATTACGGCTGGCCACCAATTGTCACAACCACCTATTGCATTGTTAAGGAGCTTTTGCTTTGGCTCTTTCATATGCTTACTTTTTTATTAGTCTGAGGGAACCCTGAGAAGAAAAAGTTGGGGAGGGATTCACTGGCTGTTTGACACTGGGGAATTACCTACTGAAGGTTGGCTTCCCCTACTCACAGCTTGCTGATGGTTCTTTATCCAGTTGGTAGCACCAGATCCTAGATGCCGTCATCTGTGACTAGCCAGTGTATCTCTCTTTCTGACCAGTAAAATGGCCCATGTACAAGGAGATAGGGGAGCAAATAGAGGACTTAAGTGACGCAAAAGATGCAAAGCCATTTAAGTGGCCGAATAAGGGAGGTGGCTGACTCCAAAATACTGATTGTAGCTTATTACAGCAACCTGAAATAAACATGATTGGCCCTCATTTTGAAGTTCCTGGACTTCCTTGATATTTCTACTGATATCCTGTAATCCTCCCTTAAATCACTTGTATGAAGATAGCTTGACTTTTGGTTTTTTGTGAGGACCCGAACTCAGAGAATCCTGCATATGCTTCAGTAAAGTCTCAGCCTTAGTATTGCATCTTTCTTGGCCAATTACACAAATCCAGTAACTGTAAGCTTTATTTCCTAATAATTTGGGGTATTATTTTCAAGTCTAGGGCAGCAAAGTTAGTTTTGTAAATCCAGCAGCCAAACAAAAGTATATAACTGCCCTTATTTCAGAAGTTCTGAATGCCCCCAAAGTCCATGCCCTTGGAGGCAGTATACATCTCTGAAGAATCAAGCCACCTTTTGTTTGATATCCAAAGACAATTTACTGGGCTTAATTTTAAACATCCTTTTTTTTATAATTTTAGCCATAAACCACAAGTAGGTGGTTCCCATTTAACTGAGGTTTGTGTAACTGCATTATTTTAGGAGAAATGCTATTGAAGTTGGGGAGACTAAAAGAAGCTGGTGAAGTGTATAAAGAACTAATTGATCGGAATGCAGAAAACTGGTATTATTATGAAGGTTTGGAAAAGGCTCTACAACCTAGTAAGTAATACTGCTACTTTCTACCTCCTTAAGCAATTATTAATCAAATAATGTTCAATTTACTATTGCAAAACAGTTAGAACTTGGCAGAAAAGAATTGTGCGTCTTCTGAACTAGAACATTTGGTAGTCACATTTTACTGAATTAGAAGTGTATTCATTGAAAACTTTATCTCTGTGTGTAAATACTAACACCAAGGGTTTCTTTAAAGGTCAAAGTTAAGGATGGCTATTTGTCATGTGCCTTCTAGAGCTGCTCTTCCCTGGCACATGCTTCTTTGAAAATGGAGCCATAAGTCACTACTCCCTGACTCATGAAGTAGATTGATGCGATCATGTTACATTAATGTACTTTCATGAAGTTATCAACTTGCAAAAGGCTTGTAGAAAATTTTCTATTTAACCCAAGCACAAATAATGTATTGCTTTAATTTCCTTTGGGATGAATTTTTAAGGGTGCTTCATTTTAACACAAATTAGCCTTCTTGTGGAAGAAAGGGGAATAGAAATAATAAGGATATTTAATATTTCTAAGCTAACTCCTATGCTTATTCTGCTGTTTCACCAAAAAAAAAAAAATTTTGGACCCTTTTTAAAAATTAATTATTGGAACCTGTAACTGAAATTCGAATGTTAATTTTCTTAAATATTTACCTCCTTATCAATTAACAAGAGGTGTATCCTCATAAATAATACATGTAGTCTACTGTGCTATACGCACTTTATATACAACACAAAGACTTATTGGATTTATTCTGATGACATCATAAATCATAAGACCATAAGAATGTTACTGATTGATATTGTATAGGTATTACACTTTCATACATCTTAGGTTTTTTTCTAAATATAAGGAAATATTATAAAACCTAAAATTGTCAAGGTATATAAGGTTTTCAGATGTGATTGGAGATTGAGTAAAAGCAAATGATAGCAGTGTTAGTTTGAAGTCCGTGTACAGTGTTATGTAGAGACCATGGTTAACCTTTGCGTGCAGATCATTGTATCCAAATTGTTTTGCTTACTACCTATATATTTAAACTGGCAAAGAACTTGATTATTGAGTTGATATAACAAATACTTTTCACTGTCAACATGTAATTATTCCTAAATAATTCATTTAGATTTGTAGTATATATTTCATGTGTACAATTCCTGTATTGACTTGAACTAGGATAATTATAAAACTAATAGCACTACTTTATTTTTTAGGTGGTCTTAGGACTATTTCCTCCCCCATGGTAAGTTCTGGAGCTCCAACTTGTGATTTAAAATAGGGTTTTTATATGCTTTAGTTCCAATTTAAGCATTTATTTGAATTTCTTCCTCTTAGAATTATGTATACCTGGAGCCAATAGATAACATGCTTTTTCTTCCTGCCTTCAGAGCTGAGACATGAGGATTTGTTTATGAAACGAAGGCCCAGGCATGACTACTAAACACTTGTTATAATATAGACTATAGATTTTTTTTGTTAACTTTCAGCTTTACTACAATTTCTTAATGAACTTGGAACACTTTGCCAAAATTTATCATATGATTGTGAAACTAACATTTTAAAAACCATAGATCAGTTCTTTTGACATTATAACCACATTGGAGCTCCAAAGCATATTATGGGGGAATTGGGAGGAGTGGGAAGAAAGTATAATGTGAAAACAAAACTACTTAAACTTGATATGATATTGAGTGTTAGAATTGGTAGTATTGTCACCGTTTTGCTGCTGCCAACAGGATTTTTGTATTAGGCCATAGTTGTATATTTATTTGCATATTAACATTCTTAAAAAAGATTAGCATTGTAACTCTTCAAATCCTTTTCGTATTTCTTATAAGTCAAGGATATTGAAAAAAATATAGAAAGCCATTTATTTTACAAATACCAGAGCACTCTTTCACAATCAAGTGTCAGAAGAAAAGTATACTTCCTATGGTATTACTTTTGTATGTTTTATGCATAAGATACTGTAATGCATTATATCTCTGGATTAATCAATGGATTTGATTAAATTAAAATTTACTGAGACATTTAAATTTGTTTTAAACTAATTTCATACCTTTGCCTAAGTAAAGCTAATTAAATTGTTGTTCTTTAAAAAATATATATATGAGTAGATTTTTTTTTTCTCCATATCTTATATCTATTATATCTACTGATAATAGGCACCTTAGAAGAGAGGCTTCAGATTTATGAAGAAGTTAGCAAAAGACATCCCAGAGCAGTTTCACCTAGAAGATTACCTTTAAACTTTGTTTCAGGTAACAAATTCCATATCTGTTCCATAGTTTCCATTCTTTTTAAGTTGCTGCCATCAGTCCCTAAATTTTGGATATCTGTTTATTACACCTATTTCAGCTACTGGAAGACTTGTGCACATTTGTTATAGACATGTCAGTAGTATATTTCAAAAGTTGGGCATTCTAAAGCAGCAGTACCAGCTACATAATTTTGCCTTTACTGATAAAACTGCAATGCAGTGCTCTGAACTGTAATGCATATATATGGCTTAAAAGCAAAGGCCGAGTTAGTGTTCTTCAAATAAGATGCAAAACTGTGGTAAGCTGTTGTATTAAGGAACTAGATCTAACTTTTTGTATGTTTAAATATCTATAGACTCTGATGACATTCAACTGCCATGTTACGGAGGGAAAAGAATACAATTGTAGAGTTTTGTCTTTGTATTATTGACTGACAGATTAAGTTTGTCTTTGCAAAATTTAGAGGGAACCCAAGTAAAAACTGCAAGAGCTACTTAGTGTTCAGGATTCAAACAAACTACTATGCAGGCTTCTTTACAATGTTCTCTCTTTTAAAAAAAAATCTTTTAAAATATGGTTGGTAGTAAACTATCTCAAACTGAAGTTTAAGTATTTCATTTGGGTTACTCTGAGCCCCTTGAAACTGCTGTATATGAGATCAAAATTAATCAGTGGTAGAATGGGGTTAATTTCATGATACACCAGACAGGCTAGGCTGTCTTTAGGGACAGCATTCAGGAAAACCTTCAGCCTTTAAACTGCACCAAAGTACAGTGTTTTGTGACAGAATTACTATAATTCAGCTAAGTCTGAAAAAGCACTGTTTTGCAGGTAACTTGGCAAGGAGTGCTAGCTCAAAGGTAGATCGGCAAAGCTTTCCAGTATGAGGTGCTTAGTTTTTGAGCTGTGCTATAGATAACTTTTTTCAAATACTTTGATATAATTTTATAGAACTATGCAATATTAATATTCAGTATAGAAAAATCGTTTGTACTGAAACTTGGGACAAAAGTGTTCTCAACTCTGGAGGGAACTTTTCTAAAATGGAAAAAGATGAGCCAATTTTTAAATTGGAAAAGAGCAAATTACTTTTTGAGTTTTGCCTGAGTACATCTGAGACATAATGTAACTGGTATATTTGTAATGCTAGCAGAAATTTTTTTGTAAATGAATCTTACATCTTCATTCACTTGCAAATGGAGACTATGACAGCACACATTTCCAGAAATGTATCTCTAGGGCTTATCTTTAAAACTATAGGTTATAAGATCAGCTTGTTTAGCATAGCAACTCATCCCTGAAAGCACTATCCGGCCTGAATTAGTCTATCTCTTGTTTTGTTGCTCTTGGACTCTCAATGTGTTTTTGATTTGTATGCTTGCTTTGCTTTAAATATTTCTGTGACTGCCAAATTATCACTCTGCAACAAATAAAGCTACTTTTCGTGCCCCTGAAGTTTCCCAGGTTTTCCATTCTCTAGGTTGTTTTTTTTTTTAAGAACAGGTGGGCCAAAATCAAGTTGTTAATTTTTCAGATTGGTTTGAGGAGTCTACTATTTATCCTCTAATAGCAAATGTCATTTATTTATTCCACTATATAGCAAGTGGAGAAAGAAAACATGAAATTACAGGAAAATATACTGCCATCCTATTGAAGATTTTTCTTCAATTTTTCATAATTAGGAAAACTTCTTAATATCAACATGGATGTTCTTTCAATGGACTGCATTATTACATTCAGCAATATTCTATTAATGAGAAATAGGTATAGTTATAAAGACTCATTGCCCATTGTGAGCAGTAATGAAAGCAAGATTATCCTCTCACAAATTGGAGACGGCTCAAAGGATGTTTCATTAAGTTGCCATTTTGTATTGTTTTGTAAAATACAAGATTATTTTTTTAAATTATAATCTAATTTGTTTTTGTGTGTTTGCTGAACACAGTGCACTCTTTGAATACAGTGATAGCCATAAATATTTTTCAGTCCAATAAATGCTTATTTTAATGTCTGTACCGTATCTGTTTTCCCACTTGACTCATCCGTATATTTTTGTGACTGCTGCAGGTCAGGAATTTTCCAACAAAACAGCATTTTGTTGGAAAATGTTGATTTGTAGAAACCCAGTTATTTTTTGCAGGAACGTGTCTACCATTTTCAGCACCATTCTCAGCAGGATAGAATTTATGATCAAAATCAGGTTCAGAATTCTACTCTCTGATGTAGAACTGAGATTTCAACCTCAGTCTCTCTCAACCCTGGTGAGTGCCTACTGCCAAGCTGGTGGCTATTCTGTTATGGGTTTCTCAGTCTTTCCTTTTGGAGTTGTTCTTCTTTGTATAAATATTTACTGGAACAGAGAATTAACCTTTATTTTCCCATAATCCAGCTGAGCATCCTAACCACCAGTCACTAGAGTTGCTATTTTTTGTTAACCGAATAAATATTTATCCATATGTAATGGACTTTGTAGCCTGGTGGTTAGGGGTACTCGTAGGGTATGAGGGCCCCAAGGTTCAAGTCCCTCCTTTACTGCTTCAGCCACAGGGAAGAATTAGAGAAACACTCCCCAGAATAGCTAGTATTTTAGAGAAACATGCCTCAAGGTAGCCAGAACTCTTAATAGGCTCATCTTGTTGTGAAGCAGGGGATAAAAAGTTGAAATTGCAAAAACTTGCATGCTGTAGCAAAGCAGTTTCTCATCCTTTTCTTTATGAAAGTACTAATTTGGAGAAACTTTAGTGCCATTAGGTTTCTGGAAAAGATATCGCAATAAATAGTATAGTTTTTGTCCAAAAATTAATTGAAATAAGCATTTCATTAATTTTTCCCCCAATATTTTGATAAAGAAAGAAATGATCTTGACCTCTTAGTCTTCTGATCAACTAAGTTATAAAATAATTTCTAACAGTTGTATCTCAAATCATGGTCCCATAAATATCTTGTGTGGAGTTTTTTCTTTCCCTTTTTTTCCTATGTGACCCTTTTTGGGGCACAAGTTAAATGTCTCCCTCTATCTCCTCTAAATAACTGAAAAGAGTAGTCAAAATAATGCCTCTTTGTAGCGTCTTCCAATTACTGGAGGTTAACACAGAGTTATATGAATGTAAGCACTGCTCAGTATACAACACTCACAACTGTTGAAGTATAACCAAGTACACTTTTGTTTCTAGGTGAAAAATTTAGAGAACTAATGGATAAGTTCCTGAGGGTTAACTTCAGTAAAGGCTGCCCACCTTTGTTTACCACTTTGAAATCATTGTATTACAATCCAGAAAAGGTAAAATTTAGTATTTATTCAGTTTTCATTAAGTCTTATATATTTACTTACTATATTAGTCAAGTATATTAATATATAGTATACTATATAAAAATCCCATAGTTTATAGATAAGTGTGATTTGACATTTTCCTATTTAGTTAGCTCATACCTTATTTATCACTTAGTAGCTTTTAAACTTGTACTGAATACATAAATTTCTGTAGCCAGTTTGGTGAAATTGCAATTGTCAGAATCTGCTTGGTAAAGTATGTTCATAAGTTTACAAAAAGTCAAAGATAAGCAAAGATTAATTTAAAATAAACTGTATTATTTGTCTTTGGCTACAAGTGTTAGGTGGTTTCAACTTATGGCTTATGATGTCACCATAAATCCTGATTTATTTATTTATTTAGTTATTTTTTTTAATATGGCACAACTGGTTTATGGTGTATGGTCACTTTTGAATTGTGTTAATATAGTTGTATTTGCCACAGATACTTGCTTCCAGTTTCTCTGTCTGGCTAAATTCTATTTAGTGTTACACTTGTTTAGGTCTAGTGTCTCCAGGGGTTTAAGTGCAACACCAGCATACTATATTATAGCTTTTGTTTCCCTCTTTCCATCACCCCTCCCCCTCAAAATATCAGTTAAAATATATTTAGGTACAATCTGCAGCGAAGATTTATCACCATACTTGAAGGGATTCTTCTTCAGTAGATAGAAAAGAAAAGTGCAGGTTTACCTAGTGAAACACCTCTATCTGTAGGAAAAGCATATTGACTATTAATAACTTTAGTTAGATACTCCTATACTTGGAAAAACTAAATATCCAGTTTCTTTTTGCTCCCTTCAGTGAGTGGATATTTTCTGGTTTAATTAGGTTATTCTTTTTTAAAGATTTCTTTGTTAATGTTCCTAATTTCATGATACTACTAGTAGATGCCATTATCGGAACATATAGTTGACTAGGTATGGACACATGTACTTTTTATTTAGCTGCTTTAAAAAGGGGAGAGACCTGCTGTTTGCAAGCACAAGTTAGCTGTTAAATATGTTAAATATGTGTGATCCTGTAGCAATACAAGTGATCAAACTTGCCCCAGATTTGACTCTAAATTAAGCAGTGTTAAATTTGGAGAGGTTTTGCTATTGTTCTGTTGCTATATTTGCAGATGTAGCAGCTCCACAGTAACAGTTTATATACAAGTCTGTTGATATCGTTATGGTTGTAATAATCAAGTGTAGTATCTGTTCTTATCAGTTTAATATCTCTTGTGTTGAAGTGATTTAAAAGAAAACCCTTTTGTACAGCTTGTGTAGTGCAGGCTATTCTACAATGAATAATATGTTTTCAGTTTTCTTAAAATTATCAGGAAATGAGTTGATTTCTGTCTGCTGTTTTTAAATAGTATTTAGCAATAAAGCAATGCCATGCAGTGGTGCACAGCAAATTATGACATCATAACTGTGATATTTTCTTAGGCGGTGAAAATAAAACACAGGTAACTTCTTGGGTACAGTAACCTGGAACTTTTGACAAATTAAGCAAGTAGGAAAAACATGACACTGACTTCTTAGTTCATAGGAAAGGTGGTTTTGATGGGTTGATGTTATTTTTTGAGTCTTGCAATGATAATACGGTTACTTTTTGTCATTCAGCTACTTTAAGTACATGTGAAAATTATCATTTAGCCCAAGAACTTTGATCAAACCATACCAAGAAACATGCACAAATTACCTAGCAGGGATGTACTAAGTTTATAAACAAAGCTTCAGAGACAAGTAATTATAGATTAATAATAATACTGTTGCAGTTTTATGGGACATCTGACTTGAAATAAATTAACAGACACAGAGAACTCACCTGAAAAAAATGTTTAAAAATGTGGGGAATCTATGGAACCTGTTTGTTGCAATTCCAACTCTTAACCTTGATTCCAAATATAAAGTTTATAGGTTGTGTCCAAAATAGGAACAACCTGCATTATGGTTCATGGAAGTAGATTTCCAGGTCCATTGCTTTTCTAGCACTGTAAAATCTACAATGAATGGGAATGCAGTATTAGCAGCCAGTGCATCAGTTGGCCAGCAACTTGGAAGTAGTCACAAAAAATAGGATAGGCAAATTTCTGAATTTTTCTTTTTTGAGAAGCTGTTATTCTCTGACAGATCACCATCAGTTAAACATGTTGCATGTTACTTTTGATTAAGTCAAACCCCCTTCAGAAGTAAACTGATAAATACATTTGCATCTCTAACAACTGATATGTGGTAGATCCAACAACTTAGAATTATGCATTTGGATATTGTGTTTCTGTTTAAATTGCAGAATTACAGAAGTTTTTGTTTTGATCAGAATGCTTTTTTGTGTTTAGAAAATGGATGATCACACAACGGATTTCTGTGTTTGTGATTATTTCATAAACTCTTCTTTCAATTAGTGTATTTCTAGAAAAAAGTATGGGAGGAGATTGTTTTGGGGAAAATTATAACTATCCTGATAGTAAGTGCCATGTTAGAGAAGATCATTATACATCTCTCAGATGATTCAGTCACTGATGCTTCAATGAATAACGTCCACAATACCTCTGGCTCTGTAATACTGTGCTGTTATAGGGTGCTGAACTTAATTCCAGTTTTAGATAATATTGTGCTTACAGTATTACTAATTTGAATATATCAAAAATATGTAAGAGACTTAACTCAAACTG